TATCCGATATCTATCCTTTATATTGCTCTAATACTGATATCTGTTATTTTACTGATATTATCCTTTCTATATTATCCCGATATGTATATCAGTATAATAATAAGATTATATAAGCATATCCCGATAGTCATGCATTCGGCCTGTGTTAATGAGATTATATTAAATGACAATGCTATAAAAACAAACTGATATGATATGGCTCTTTTACTTTTCTTATATATTAACAATCATGAGTCTTTCTAATTAGTTAGATATGTACTTATGAATAATAAATTAGCAGATTCATACAGATAGGTTTTACGTCAGACCAAACGAGCTATAGATGGTTGTGTATCTGCTGTTATTATGACTGATACCAATCCGGCTTTGGACTTTGCAATTTCTGAGGAGTATGAACAATCATATGCAATGTATTGCATTTTCCATATCTTACAAAATCTTCCTCGAAACCTCAAGGCTAAGTTGGATCAACAGTATCATAAATTTATTAAAGACTTTATAAAGCTAGAAATTCACTTGTTCCAGAAGTTTTTGAACAAAAGTGAACACAGTTGGTTGAAAGATATAATAAACCTAGAGTAGTAAAGTATCTGCGAATATTATATTCTTTAAAAAAAGCATAGGTACATGCGTACACTGTGAAGGTCTTTATTGCTGGTATACAAACAACATTCCGTATTGAGAGTTATAATGCTCAAGTAAAAAGGCTGATTTTAAATTCTAATGTTAGTTTTATTTAACTTGCTGAAGCACTAGAAGCAAGTATAGAAGTAAAAATCAAAATATGCTTATTGGAAAATCTAAATTCCGTTGACATCATCTGCAACTACACTACTATAAGCATTGTTTCCCAAACTTGATAAGGCTTTGAGCTGTTTTATTATATCCAAATACAAAAAATTCAGCATGTTGAAATCAAAAGTTGTCTAAATTATAATATGACTGCTATTATAAAAGACGAAATAATTAAATATTAAGAGGTATGTACTGTATTATATGGGTTTAGATTAAAATTCCAAAAGTCAAAATCCTAAACCTTAATTATTGTATCATGTGATGTCGGTTTAAACTCCACTTAGAATTAGTTATCATGATGACTAATCATAAGTTTGAACTGATATTATACTATACAATAATTAAGGTTCAGGATTTTGTTTTTAGAATTTTGACTCAAGCCCGTATTATATTATTCTTAAAAATAATATCGTAAATGATACTCTATTTACAAAACCACATATAATATTTAAGCTCAAGTCTAATGATACCTTGTTTGTTGAAGATAATGAAAATATCATGCAGATTTCTATTAACTATATATTAGAAAATATAGACATCAATAAAATAGTAGAAATCTGGGCTATTCACATAATTACATTCCCTATATTCTGTCATTTTGTCATTCTTCTTTCTAATAAAACCTATGTATATTCTTGTTTGGAGCTTGTAAGCTGTGGATTAATTTGCTGTCACTTCTTTCAGATAATGTTATGTACTGTAGTGCATTGACCAAAGTACCTGGGGTACAATACAATCTACACATCAAAAAACTTACAAAAGATCTGGGTACATTATGCTATAGTGAGTTTGTGTTGCAAGAAAAAAAACTTTCAAATATACACATATTTCACATTTACAATAAGCAGCTTAAAAATTTAAAATAACTCATTTTTAATTAATAGAGATCTTGTGTTTTGCATCAGGGTATTTTGTATAGTGGGTACTGAAAAAGGGGGTACTTTGGTCAGTGCATTATGATAGTTGTGTAGCAATATTCCATATTATATATATTCATAAAAGGTGGTATAAGGATATTTATAGTGATTTACAAGAAGAACCTATTATGTTGCCGCATGATTTAGTAAGAATTATTCTCAAGATCAACCTGCAAAATTTGCTAGATCTAATATGAATAGATTGTTTACATCTATGACCAATCTTCGGGATGAAAGAAAAAAAATATTAATAAATAAAAACTATATAGAGAGTTGTGAGAAATCGCACAAAATATTACACAAAAGGCAGTTTAACTTCATAGACAAGATGTTATTGAAATGCTAGAGAATTTATTAAATGAAATATAAGAGAATAAGTTAGTAATTGACTTGGCTGATGATGGTGATGGAGAAAAATGTAGCAATAGTTCATATAACAATGAAGAATGTGAAGATAATAATGCTAGTATATTTCTTCAAACCCCAAAAAATATAGAGTGAAGGGACGTCCAAAAAGTTCTAAGCGAATCAAGTGATTAGAAGAATTAAAACTAACTAAGCATCAAAATCAATGTGGGAATTGTGGCGAGTACAGACATTATAAATCTAAATGTTCAAAAAAATAGTTGTAAAGGGTGGTGTTAACAAATCATTTTGTAAATTTTTTTAAATAAAAGTTAAAATAATCTATCTATTTATTTAGATGTTCATTGTTTGATTTTTATTAGAACGTCATCAGTATTATCTAGTTCTTTTTACAAAATTGTAATTACTTGATGCAAATAGTTAAATACAGGTATGTTAACCTGCAGTTGACCTAGATTTTTCATTAATCATTATATTTAAGATAGACATTTAATTGATGATTCTCCAGTCAACTGAAGAATGATCATAGTGAAACATGACGCGGTTCTATATATAAATTACTAT